GAAGCAAGAGAGAAGGAGAAGGCCTTTTTCAACACTGCACAAAATGAGCAATATCTTACTGAAGACTCTACAGGTTTGGATCCCCCACCACCTCTACCCTTGTATGGGGCAGGAGGTGCATTAAGAAGAATGCGTGTAAGCAGCGATGATGGGCCTCCAATGGTGTACAGTGTACGATTGTATGCAGAACAGGTATGTATTCTTTGTTTTCTCTTATTGAATGAGTTTTCTTTTAGTAAAATAATATATTGCTAAGGGGCACACAAATGCGTGAAATATTTATAGAAATAGAAAGCACATTATATGTATTATCATAATCCAGAGTTTCTGAAGCCCTTCCCTCCTCTATCCCTTTTACCAGTCTGCTTGATGGGTTACAAGAGGTAGGAGGGTGGAAGAAGGGTCTGCAAAGAGGGGCATAGGGGTGAGGTTCTCACCTATTTGTCCATAAAATGTTATCATAGTGCATTAAATTGTATGAATTTGCTACATTATTGTTACTTGTAGACTCTATGAAGGTGATGATATAAAACCATGTGTTGTAAGGCGTTGACTTGTTGTTTTGAAACAAGCTGTGAATCAGCATACCCATTTGCACGTTCAGCCATTCCAAACTGATACCCTGTCAGGTTGGTAGGAATATTTCTGGATAGCCCTCTGGTACAGAAGAGCATTGGAATATCCTCTTTTATTTAATTTTTTTATTTATTTACTTTTTTTTTACTCTATAGTAATCATAATTAAAAAAAAAAGTAGCCCTACATGAGATATTGGTTACAAATAAAACATGATCAGTATTGCAAATGCACATAAATAAATGATAGTGGCTTGCATGTAATTTTTTTCTTTTAGCTATACTTTTTAATTTTTTTGACCTACCTGACAAATATTTCTGGGTGCACCCTCTAGATCAAGTGAAGACAGCTCATGATCGCACTTGAAAGTTGGACTACAGACATATCAGCATAAGTAATTGGTCATAATTATTCTCCTATCCTGTGTGGCACTTGCATTCTCCACATGAATAATGCCTGTTGCAGACAAAGTTGCCAGTATTGTCATTCTTTCCAAGAAATAAACCTGTATTGTGTGCCAATTTGACTTTTTCTTTATTATTTTACCAGATGCCCCCAAAAAAATAAAAAAAAATTGCCATTTTCCCCCTCTTCTTTGGTACATCACAACTCCCATAGTTTTTCCTGAACTATACACAAAAATATCATGTGTTAGATCTATCCTCGCCTAAGGTTGTGTAAATAGCTGATTTTTTAATTTGATTTTTTTTTTTTGGGGGGGTGACTGGTTGAGATAGAGTACTATTTTTGTTTTTGTTTTTTCAGGATTAAAAAATTAATATTTTTTTATTAAGGTCAAAATTTAAAAATCAACCATTTACACGGCCTCAGGGCTCCGAGACTAGCGAAAGCAACTGCATTTTAATCGCATGAAAGTTATGAGCATAGTGATGTACCGAAGGTATTGTAAACAGTGAACGGAGATATTGCGTATTATATTTTGGCAGCTTGCCAAAGTTCGAAAGTTTGTCAATCAAAATTACCATTTTCAATAGGGGCGCTTTCCTATAAAGGTATGTAATTTATATTTATATATATATATATCTATATGTATTTACAAATATATACATTTATATATATATTTATATATAAAAGATATTTCTGTCTGAAACATTTAAGAAATGCATTGACCCATAGAAACATGTAGTCTAAACCAGATGAAACTTTTTTTTTTTTTTTTTTTTTTTTTTTTACTTGGATTTTGAAGAAATGGGAACTGTGGATGGCAACATTATTACAAAATCATCCTAGAATTCGAGAACTTACGTCGTTGAATTTTTTTACTAAAGAGTGCATAAAATCATGCAGACACCTAGGTGTGGTGGGATTTGCGAATTTATGGTACCAACATTACCTATGGTAATGTCTAAACATAATAGTTTTTATCAGGAACGCACAAAACAGAAGTGATAGCTTTATCAACTCTAGAGGAAGACTGTGCACACTAATGAGCTCAAAATTCCACATAGTTTTTATTTCAGAGCTGATATCACTGAGTATTATCAGCTTCAAAATGAAATAATCAGGATCTTGCTTATACATCCGTAGTTCAAAAATCCGACGTTAAGGTAACCTTCAAATTGAATTGGCCTTCACAACGGTAACGACCAATTTCAAATCAAATCAAATTTACCCATGCTGTGGTGTACCGACCGTTGAGTGAAGGCTAATCGTAATATTTCAATCCTTACTTATACAGCTATTTTCAAACATTAATGCTTCGTACTCAGGATACATACAGATCACTGTAATCTACAGCATATTACCAGGGAGTCTTGATAGAAGCATATATCATGTGTAAAAGGACACAAAACTCACAATAAAAAAAATATATATTTCAAAAAATATTCTGTCATAAATCACTGGGATATAATTTTTTCTTGATAATGTTATGAAAGTGTTCCTTGAACATTCATGAACTCATGTCTATGCACAATGTCATAATCAAATGCTATATGCATGATTGCAACAAGCATAGGTCCACATAGGTGTACCTGGTGCTCATTAGCGACGTACAGTTGCAAGATTATATTTTAGTACACTTTCTGGGTCCCACTTTTCTGCATCATCTAGTAGCAGTTAATCAAATTAATGAAGTGTTTTTTTTATCTTTATACCTGAATCAAACACTTATTGAATAAACAGAAACCATGCTACATTAGATTCTTCAATATAGAGCATGAACAAAATCACAGTTAGGCTACACTGAAGATATAGATTCGTTATCAATTTGTGTGTGTGTGTGCATCGTCTATGGAAATACGAAGTCATGCTTGGTAATGAGTTAAGTAAGAGTATGTATAATCAGCTATTATCATGCCTTAAATCTTTGAGGAGTTGCATCCACATTCGAAGAGCTGAGCGAGAAAATGCATGTTTGCTTGTTTTAACTTGAGCAACTATTAGCTAGGTGGTTCCAAGCACGGTGAATAGCAAAAATCTTAGAACCAACTCCCAATACTTGTCTTTTATATCTTGTTCATTCTAATGAAAGGATAATTTCTCGCTGTCAGTTGTTATTGTCATCTATCCATTTTCTTTCTATTTGACAGTGCAATGTAATGCAGAATATGCATAGGTGTAGATGATATTAGCATATAAAACCTTTACATCAAATTAATTTTCTTTATACATTACCATAGAAGTAATAATTTCCCGTTGTGTGAAAAGCTTTTGTTCATTTGGAATTAGAGTAGTTTACAGAAAGAAGAACAATGTAGAAAATAGCATGAAGTCGTATATTTCATCTCTTTTATGCCAGTAGATATTCAGCAATTCCTGAATATCTATATCGTGGCTGAACCTAACATACGCTGAAAAAATACATGTCCAATGGTTATGATAACATGGGAAATCTGAGGTCAAAACAAGGCTGCCAAGCTGACACCTTTCTCAGGATGGAGGCAAAGCAAGCTGTAATCGGCAATAGAGGCTGCTACATTGGGGTGTGGGAAAGTAACTACTCCAACAGGGATATATTTGGAGAGCTGGGCATCTCCCAGATGATGGTATACAGGCAGATAAGGTAGGAAGAGGAGGGCACCCATAATGACAAAAATACACTGGAAAAACACGGAAAGCTCCATTGCTGAAGGGGATTAAAGGTGTAAATGGTAGCCCTTTTCAATATTTCACAAATCAATTTATTTCAATTTACTATATAGATATTTGTTCATGCATAACAGTGTCCTACACATGATATTTCATGTTCAGATTCTATATCATTTACATTTCACATATGACAGACAAATTATCTATAAAACGCAGAGGAATGGCCTCATGACCTGCGATATTTGGGGGTGGATCTCCCTACATGATGTTGGCGAAACGGGGAAAATGCCTATTAGACAAATATATCGAATTAGAAAAAAAATCCTCCCATTAGCACACTGTTATGCCTTGGCCCGTCCCAGAAACAATGAGGATAACTGCCCTATACTCACACCCAGGGCAGTTACGAAGTAGTTCCCTGCCTAACACCACGTGGAGGTCCTTCAATGGCCAGCAAGGGATATGGCTCAAACCCCACGAAAAATGTTTGGCTGAATATTGTCAATGTTTGAGAAACGGCTAATGAAACAACCTCGAACCAGCTGATAAAAATCGAAACGTTACATGTGAACAAGTCACTTCTGTCTCAGGGATCAGACACCATTTGAATAACAATACATATTTCCTAATATAAACATTACTATTTGTCTTCCTTTTCTACAGTTATTACCGTTTTCCTTTAAAAAATCAAACTATAGTAAAAGTATCTCCAAAATTAATAAACATCGCCAAATAGTCAATTTACTGAAGCCCCCATTATCTATGAAAAAATTAAATTAAAAATATTTACATATTTATGTGTGCGTGCGCGTGCGTGCGTGCGTGCGTGCGTGCGTGCGTGCGTGTGTGCGTGTGTGTGTGTGTGTGTGTGTGTGTGTGTGTGTGGTGTGTGTGTGTGTATGTATGTGTGTGTGTTTCTTAGTTATCAACTACATGATATGGCATTTTGCGTGAGAAGGGGTTTAAAATGTATATGAAATATTAAACAAAAGATTCTAACTAAAGCGTTAAAAACTGTGTAGAACTGCAATTCTTTCACACAATGCATACACACATTGTTGAGGCCTGATTAACCCGACCACAGTTTTGCGTTCAGTTGATATTCTAAAATGATTGCAATTTTCTGTTTATTGAATCCGTGTTTAGATCTGATTTATTAGTTCACACTGAAAATTATATATAAGAACTTTGATTTTATTTTGTGATAAAGGACAAGAATGCCATTTTTTTCTACACAGGCATATACTGTAAGCAAGCGTGTATTGACAAAAAGAAAAAAAAAAAATGCATAAACAACAAATAAAAGTAAAGAACAAGATTAATGGACATTAATCCAAATGAAAAAGATTTTTTTTGGTCAAAATATCAGATATACACCTCATGTAAAGAGAGTCAGTTGTATGACTTTTGCTATTCACCCTCTTTGAAACCACCTAGCTTGTAGTGCTCAAGTTGAAACAAGTAAACATATATTTTCTTGCTCAACTGTTCGAATGTGGATGCGCCTCCTTCTAAAAACGCTAAGACTTACGGAATAATTACAGAAAAACTACGATCAGATTTTAGCACAAGCTAAGAGACATTCAGAATAACCGAAACGAATTGAACATACTATTTCAAAAATCATCACTAAGCATTGACTTCGTATTTCCAGGGACGCAACACACACACACAACACACACACACACACACACCACACACACACACACACACACACACACACACACACACACACACACACACACACACACACACACACACACACACACAAAATTATGAAGTATCTATGCATTCTATAAAGAAAAATATAATGTAGCATGATTTCTGTTTATTCAAAATAAGTGTTTGGTTCTGGCAAATAGGAAAAATGTATATCATTTTATTAGACTGATTATGGTGCAGCTACGGGAAGTATTTACAAAGATCTTTTGTACATTTTTAATTTGATCTTGCTGCTATACAGAGATGTTTTAAAGCATGAAGTCGAAATCTTTGATACTTCTTGTGTTGGAAGAACGGGGAAATGCCACCTCCACACCATAGGTGTTGCCATTTTGATAAACAAACAATTAGAGGATATTGTATTTGAGAAATATCCAGCTACAAAATCAATGATTACTAGTATTGCATGTTTTGTGATCACATATTTGAAGAAAATGGAAGCTGAAATGGCTTACTTAATTAAAAAAAAAAAATTCATTAATATACTCATTGGTTATTTACATTCGACCAAACACACTCTTTGTTACAAACTACCTAGGGTTTTAGCGTCATTCACAAAAATATTATTTACGCCATGTTTACTTCAATTGGTTGCCAGACAATGAGCCACAGCAAGCGTTTAATACTCGTTTGGTAGTTTTCCTCATCCATGTACGTATACTATACACTAGCTAACTCAATTTGACCCCTTACCCCCTTCCCCCCATCAGGGACGGTCCCCTAAGTGGATTCCCTTTCCATTTCTCAAAAGACCATGCATGTCTGATCCTTGGCTTTATGGTTTCATGTTATCACCTTAGCATAACCTGTCAGTCACAAAATCTAAAGTCATATACTCAAGTATAATACTGGCAAATTTTATACGATACCATGAACCTGGTTAACATTTGGGCAAGTGGATGAGATCCTCATCCCTATGCCACCCCATGCAGACCCTTATTACCTACTAGCCCTCCTACCTCCTGTAACCTATCAGGCAGAAAGTGTGAGGGGTAGGAAAGGGAAGAGGTTCAGAAATTTTAGATCTTGACAGTATATACTATATCTCTTACCATAAAGAGGTTAACTTTGAGCTGAAAATCAAATGTTTGTTTGATTTGTGTCAGGTGCAAAAAAGATTGAGAAAGAAACATTTTGTCACTTTAAATACAAATTACAAATACCCCTGTTTATCTAATTCTGGGGTATAATTTTGATTCTTTATATTCTGATATATGATTGAATGGTACCTTAAAGTTATAGGACAAAAACGAGGTTACATCATTAATTCTTACTCTTCATAGAAATAAACATATAAAATGTGCATTATGTTTCAGGTTCTTGTGTCCAGGATTCTAGGGGTCAATGAAGAGACAGGTGACAAGATGGAACTGTACAAATGTTTTATGTGCAGTGTTGCATTTCCATCCATTTCAAGACTACAAGCTCATCTATTTCAGCATAAGCAACAGTTTGTCTGTTGCAAGTGTAGTTTTTCATGTGATTCAAGAGTCCAATTTTCTCACCATGTACAGCATGAACATCTTTCTCCACCTATGCAGTCTAACAGGTATCTTTTAAGTTAGGTGTTGAATGAATTTTATTATTGTATCTAAAGAGACAGTTGAATTTAGTGATGTATTTAAGCCTACTTTTGAGGGTTTATTTCTCCTCAGCAAATGCAACCAGGGTCAAACAAATGCAGAATTGTTTAGTGTGCACATCTTTGAGTAGGCTCTACTGCTCATGACACAAAAAAGGTTATTCTGGCACAAGGGGTGGTATGGATGGTTAACAGCATTATTAAAAAAAAAAAAAAAAAAAAAAAATGCCTGAAAACTCATGTAGAGGAAGTCAGGTGAGGTCTGTACCCTTGAATGATATTGGAGAATCCCAAAAGCACTAAACTAAACAAGTTTGTAACATGAGAAATGCTGTGATATTTTTTTACTTGTGGCCAGTTTTGGGTGACTGTAGTAATCCCTGGGTCATGCTTTAGGTTGGGAATACACAGATGTTTAGAGACATAATTTTTTTTTTTTCCTTCTCTGAGGAATTATCTGTCCCTCACTTGTCACAGGCTGACACCCCCTTCTTACTATTGCCCATTATAGCATTTTTTTCTGGTGAAGCTGAGGATTTTGAAGTCCCTTCCAAACCTCAGCTTCAGTCCTCCCCCATTTGTACACTCCCATGTGTATCACCATCAAGGCTGATGGAAGATTTTGCTGCTTCTGTACCAATCCATTAACACTCGGTTAAAAATTTGATAGTGGCCATTAACATAGGGTTGTTGGCGTGATTGAGTTTCTCCTGTTTGCGCTCGGTATGTTTGGTAGTTTGCAGGCAACATTAGGCACCTAAAAGCTTATATTTTGATATCAGTTTGAGAAAAAGATGGAGAAAAACAAACTCCAATGGATGAGCTGATGGTGGGGGAATGGTTTTGATGCAATACCACCTGCGACTTAGTCCACAACAGCCATGGTGTGTATGTACATGCCATCTGGTGGCAAGGGGTTAAAAGGAGAAGGAAAATTTTGATATGTATGTGACTATTTATATAATTGTGATGTGCATGCACTTTTTGAAACAGCAATACGAATATGAAAATGTAATTGCTAGGTGTATTTTTAGATCATATTCCTGTATTATTTTTTCCCTAAAAAAAAAAAAAAAAAGTCATCTAATATTTCTCATCTTGCAACCATACAATTATATTGAAAGATATATAGCAGTGGATGCATATTATATGCATTTCAATATCTGCATTTTTGATAAATATATGGACTTGGTATTAGTTGGAAATCAATGTAAGGAATGTCATGTCTATGTTCAGTTTATTTTTATCTGGGTGAATGAAACTTGAAACATAGCTTCCAAGGACTTTTTTTTATCTTTTTTGTTAGTTGTAAAGGATGATTAATCATAAATAGATCAGTAGATAAAAGTAATTGACAGTCCCCTAAATAATCAAATATGGTCTGTTGTAAGCCAATGTACAGAAGGGTATAGATTAAAGGTCAACAGCATAGCCAGCATGTTCTCTTGCAGGTGTTCTCTGCACCTGTTAACACCATTAAGTGAGGTTGCCAAGAACTGTTATTGCTGTACTGCAGCTGGCAGTCAGGATGTTTATTATGGTGTCAAATGAAAAAATGTTAAAACTTAATTAGCCATGTCAAGGAGAAAAAATGTTGTTTAGGACTATGGACTATGCATGGAACTATAGTGACTATGCCTGGGAGCTCTTATTTGTTCCCAACTATACATAAAAATGAAAGATCTGCTTTACCTGCAACTGATTTTTGTTTCCTTCAGGGATAAGGAAGATGCAAGATGTATATGAGTGATGATTCCTGTAGTGCAGAGAATACAGTCACAGTAGCTGCACTTTTATCTGCTCTTCGGGAGAAGGCTCAAGAAAACAGACCCGTTACTCTTGCTCAGAAAGAAACCTTTGAGGAAGAGGAAGAGAATGTTAGTGAGGACTCTTACCCAGTTTCCCCATCATCTGAGTCACAAGAAGCAGGAGAAATACAAGAAGGAAGTACAGGAGAGGATCTCTTCAAGATGTACACGTGTAGATTTTGTGGAAAAAAATTTGACCGTGCCTTTTCATGTAATCGACATGAACGTGTGCACACTGGATACAAACCATGTTTTTGCCGAGTGTGTGGACGAGGTTTCTCAGAGCCAAGAAATTTGAGGCATCATGTAATCAGATTTCATAGTGATGGATCTCTCCGTCACCTTATTAAAAGAGATAGACGTAAAAAAGGGGAGGAAGATTCCCCTATTCCTTCCATATCGCCTGTACCTGTGAAGTATCCTGAAAATAGGTTGAATAATGTTTTAAAAGAGACTGCAAATAAACTTATATCTACTTCCAATATTGATATCAAACACTCAGAAAGCCCACTGGTTGAGGCTTCACTAGCATTCAAAAAATGTAATAGGTGAGTAGTCTGTTGATATCAATATTGGAAGTAGATTAAGTTTATTTGCAGTCTCTTTTAAAACATTATTCAACCTATTTTCAGGATACTTCACAGTACAGGCGATATGGAAAAATAGGAATCTTCCTCCCCTTTTTACGTCTATCTCTTTTAATAAGGTGACGGAGAATCCCCACTATGAAATCTGATACATGATGCCTCAAATTTCTTGGCTCTGAGAAACCTCGTCCACACACTCGCAAAACATGTTTATCCAGTGTGCACACGTTCATCGTATTACATGAAAGGCACGGTCAAATTTTTTCCACAAAATCTACACGTGTACATCTTGAAGAGATCCCTCCTGTACTTCCTTCTTTATTTCTCCTGCTTCTTGTGACTCAGATGATGGGAAACTGGTAAGAGTCCTCACTAACATTCTCTTCCTCTTCCTCAAAGTTTCTTTCTGAGCAAGAGTAACGGGTCTGTTTCTTGAGCCTTCTCCCGAAGAGCAGATAAAAAGTCAGCTACTGTGACTGTATTCTCTGCACTACAGGAATCATCACTCATATCACATCTTGCATCTTCCTTATCCCTGAAGGAAACAAAAATCAGTGCAGGTAAGCAGATCTTTCATTTTTATGTATTGGGAACAAATAAGAGCTCCCAGGCATAGTCACTATAGTTCCATGCATAGTCCATAGTCCCATAAACAACATTTTTTCTCCTTGACATGGCTAATTAAGTTTTAACATATTTTCATTTGACACCATAATAAACATCCTGACTGCCAGCTGCAGTACAGCAATAACAGTTCTTGGCAACCTCACTTAATGGTGTTAACAGGTGCAGAGAACACCTGCAAGAGAACATGCTGGCTATGCTGTTGACCTTTAATCTATACCCTTCTGTACATTGGCTTACAACAGACCATATTTGATTATTTAGGGACTGTCAATTACTTTTATCTACTGATCTATTTATGATTAATCATCCTTTACAACTAACAAAAAAGATAAAAAAAAGTCCTGGAAGCTATGTTTCAAGTTTCATTCACCCAGATAAAAATAAACTGAACATAGACATGACATTCCTTACATTGATTTCCAACTAATACCAAGTCCATATATTTATCAAAAATGCAGATATTGAAATGCATATAATATGCATCCACTGCTATATATCTTTCAATATAATTGTATGGTTGCAAGATGAGAAATATTAGATGACTTTTTTTTTTTTTTAGGAAAAAAATAATACAGGAATATGATCTAAAAATACACCTAGCAATTACATTTTCATATTCGTATTGCTGTTTCAAAAAGTGCATGCACATCACAATTATATAAATATCACATACATATCAAAATTTTCCTTCTCCTTTTAACCCCTTGCCACCAGATGGCATGTACATACACACCATGGCTGTGTGGTACTAAGTCGCAGGTGGTATTGCATCAAAACCATTCCCCCACCATCAGCTCATCCATTGGAGTTTGTTTTTCTCCATCTTTTCTCAAAACTGATATCAAAATATAAGCTTTTAGGTGCCTAATGTTGCCTGCAAACTACCAAACATACCGAGCGCAAACAGGAGAAACTCAATCACGCCAACAACCCTATGTTAATGGCCACTATCAAATTTTTAACCGAGTGTTAATGATTGTACAGAAGCAGCAAAATCTTCCATCAGCCTTGATGGTGATACACATGGAGTGTACAAATGGGAGGACTGAAGCTGAGTTTGGAAGGACTTCAAAATCCTCAGCTTCACCAGAAAAAAATGCTATAATGGCAATAGTAAGAAGGGGTGTCAGCCTGTGACAAGTGGACAGATAATTCCTCAGAGAAGGAAAAAAAAAAAAAAATTATGTCTCTAAACATCTGTGTATTCCCAACCTAAAGCATGACCCAGGGATTACTACAGTCACCCAAAACTGGCCACAAGTAAAAAAATATCACAGCATTTCTCATGTTACAAACTTGTTTAGTTTAGTGCTTTTGGGATTCTCCAATATCATTCAAGGTACAGACCTCACCTGACTTCCTCTACATGAGTTTTCAGGCATTTTTTTTTTTTTTTTTTTTTAATAATGCTGTTAACCATCCATACCACCCCTTGTGCCAGAATAACCTTTTTTCATGGTCATGAGCAGTAGAGCCTACTCAAAGATGTGCACACTAAACAATTCTGCATTTGTTGACCCTGGTTGCATTTTGCTGAGGAGAAATAAACCCTCAAAAGTAGGCTTAAATACATCACTAAATTCAACTGTCTCTTTAGATACAATAATAAAATTCATTCAACACCTAACTTAAAAGATACCTGTTAGACTGCATAGGTGGAGAAAGATGTTCATGCTGTACATGGTGAGAAAATTGGACTCTTGAATCACATGAAAAACTACACTTGCAACAGACAAACTGTTGCTTATGCTGAAATAGATGAGCTTGTAGTCTTGAAATGGATGGAAATGCAACACTGCACATAAAACATTTGTACAGTTCCATCTTGTCACCTGTCTCTTCATTGACCCCTAGAATCCTGGACACAAGAACCTGAAACATAATGCACATTTTATATGTTTATTTCTATGAAGAGTAAGAATTAATGATGTAACCTCGTTTTTGTTCCTATACTTTAAGGTACCATTCAATCATATATCAGAATATAAAG